GCATGGACTTTTCATATGTATTAGTATTGTGCCCAAAATCAGAACTTATCCTGTCTAGATAATGTACATGTCATTTGCAATGGTATTTAGCCACATATCCATCTAGATAATTTACTATACCATCTACAACTCTCTCCAGTTGATATAGTTCCACCGATATTGGCACTTCCCATATGTCTTAATAATGTATCCAGTTACTATACTAAGGCTCATCCCAGATAATTGCATGTGCCTTATATCACTGCGTCCAGACATATTACTCATAATATTTTTATGCTATCTGCGAGTCTTGTGCACTTCATCAGCAAATTCATTGCTCAAATTACAAAAAATGGTCTCTCTAGGACTAGGTCAGAGCCAGTAGAAGCTTGTGACTTATTGGTTTACTATATTGTATTAATGTTCAACCCTATTAATTAATGTCATGAGCACTATCACAGCTGTCAAAATATTCCAAAAAAATCAATCCTAATCAATCATCAACTTTTTTCAAATCAATGATCATGTATGACATAAAACTATTAAATCAACATCATTTCTTGTGGCTTTGTTTAAACTTAACACACTTTATAGAAAACTAGTAAGTATACTGATTGAGTGTGATGACCCAGTTATCACTGCCCGTGCATCAACATCAGTGCTTTAACACTGAGAATATTTATTTTCAATCATGTATTTAACAAGTCTTTTGTAAAATCTATTTTACAGTCATTACAACTGACCAAAAAAGTTGTCTCAACTGTTCAGAATTCTGTAATATGTTTCTAACTGTTATTTGTTCCAATTGTTATCAGTTTTGTAACATTGTAATCACCGAAATGGATCAACATTAGAGACAACATTTGACATTCTGCTGCTTAAATGATTAATTGTATGATTATGGTGTCACGTACAACAAATAAAACTGTATTTCTTTTCACTTAGGATTATGTAACAGCTGATAAACAAATATACATGTGTCATAACTTTTAATACATATTTTTTTCTTAATTCATTACAGGAGAAATTATTACAGAAATTAGAAAGGTATGATGTTGAAAAATCCACAACTGATGATGATGAGGTAAGATGCTATCTCTGAATAATCTCACTACAATACATAATTTGTGTGCTGTAAGGATTGCGTAATAAAGCCCATATTTTGCTTCCCAGACCCTGAATATCAGATAGGGACACCAGTTAAGTAGAAAAAGGGATTCTATTTGTGTACAGAATATATTTACTAGCTCCACTGTCAACTTTGTCGAGCGGAGCTTATCATATGAGTGATTGTCAGTCGCTGTCCGTCGTCTTCGTTCATGTCAATGTTTTACTTTTTCGACTTCTTCTTGACAACTACAAGCCTGAATGCTTTGATACTTGGTGTATATGTACCTTGGGTAGACCTCTCTTAGATTTCATGATGATATCTTCAATTCTCTAATTTTGGTGAATATTTTGTTATTTTTGGTAAAACGTGATATTTTCGACTTCTTGTTTCTAATGATATCTTCTGTTCTTTAATTGAAATGTGCATTGCTAGCAGCAGAGCTATCTCAGCCGACAGGCTGCTTGTTTATTTTCTCATAGTGACTTGCTACACAAAAATGCTAATGAAATCTCTGAACTGAGCTACATTCTGTTATTCATATGGAAAGTCCACAGTAGTTAATACAGTTATTGCAGGAATAGTAAACTTTATAGTTACATATTAGTAACATACATGTAGGTGAATATGTGTAAACTGAGAACTGACTTCTCACAGTTGAGTGAACCAAGTGAGTATTGGTCACCAAATCCAGTAGGAGAATCACACACTGGAGAGAAGCACTTTTAACTAAGATGTTTATTACTCAACTGCTCAGCCTGAAACTGAGTGCAAGTCCGTACGAGATGTTCCAAACAATGTTGAAATATCATTATGCAAATAACTAAACTTACACCGTAGCCCCAAATCATCACATTATGACATTATTGATGACAAAAATATCCACTTTAAAAATTATAAGTTTTTAATGGAGAGGCAAAACCAGTTCAGAGCCTTTGGAGTTGAGACTATACATGTACTGTAATACAGCATTACAAAAAGACAATGCAAGCTGATGGCCAACTTGAACTTATTTTTGGACTGTACTGTACGTAAGCGTATGTACGCTCGTGTACTGTACACGCTCTACTAGAGTACTAGTCACGTAATTTATCCCAAGGACCTTAATTTTAGAGTCCACGCATTTCCCAAGAGCTGCATTACTTCACAAAGTTTAAATAGTGAAAAAAATAAACTTTCTTTAGAAAAGCAGCACGCCGACCTGCTAACACCATGGTGCATGCTTTTGAATGGGCTGGCCTCTTTTAATCTGGCACACCTATGCAAATTCGACGCACCCACGCAAATTCAAGGCTAGTTTTTCACTGCGCCATCCTGCTTGCCGGGCTAGCTTTTGCTGCACCCTCGCCGCATAGCTCTTGATTTTTGAGGCGCATTGCACTGTAATCCAACTTTACTTTACTAAGTATAAATATCTGCATATTGTTATCAGTGTCACTCAAAACGTGATGTGTTCTTTTTTCAGTGTGTTGTATGCATCAGTGCCAAGGCAACCATGCACACATACCCTTGTGGTCACAAAGTGGTGTGTAGGAAGTGTTTTGTGAAGACAATACAAGTTGCAGTCACTCAAAAGATGCTACCATTGAGATGTGTGATCTGTCGCTCTAGAATACTGAAATTGAAGCAGTCAGTTGGTCTTCCAGTTTTGTAAACAAAACAAAATGACTGGTATGATTTGATCGCTCGATGTATATACGATGAATGTTTTGTGTGGAAAAATAGTTCACAAAAGGTTGATCAATAGTTTCCCGTAGATGCACAAGAGATTTCATGGAAAAACATGTCTCATTGTTGATGTAATTAGCGTGGAGAAAATTAGTGAAAGAAATAAGTATCCCCCCTTTTTAATTTGAAAAACATTGTTTCATTATTGAGTGTCCAAAAAACTGAAGAAATTTTCTGATTGAATGGATTATGTTATACCTTTCCCATAGAGTTTCATGTATTAACTCTGGAATCCATGTAATGTACCGGTAACATCATGTTTCTATAATATTTGGTCTGTGACCCTAATATAGCAATAAGCAATTTATTCACAAATTACCTTAGCAGTAATTTCCAAAGACCTCTATGAAACTGAATTGATTGACCTTATGTGATGTAATGGTTTAGATCAGTGTTTGCTTGTGAAGAGCATCCAGTAGAAATCTATACCATGTAGAGCAGTGAATATTGAAAGCTTCCAAAGACATGGTCAGTGTATATATTAGAAAACATACCTAAACAAGCATTGTCTCACTGTTTTTTGCTTCATCATAAAGTTGTATTGTCAACAAGACTTAGTTCAAAGCTCTTTCAATTTTGAGTAACTTGACTACCAGTAATATCAAAATCTGAAAGTTACTGTATTTGTGAATTGTATCGACAATGAAAGTCATAGCTGCTGCTGCATTTACTGTAAGTACATATATTACTTGACATTTCAAATACTTCAGACTGAATTTTGTTGACAACACAACTTTAATGTCTATTTATTATTTATTCAGTTATTTATTTATTTATTTATTTATTAATATATTTGTTTTCAATGAATGTCTGTGCATGTTGTACCCAATCCATCTCCACAATGAGAATGGTTCCACCTCTAGAAATTATCACTTCGTGGTTACCATGACGATGACATTTCATGTAACTTAGTTGTTTATTGATAACATTACTTGCATGTAACAAACAGCTTTTTGTCTGTCTCTTGTATCGACCGACCCTCTGACCGTTCCATGTACCGGCGACCGTCTGACCTACTGACTGACTGACTGACCGACCGGTCGACCTTTTGTCTGTCCATGTACTTGACAGGCTTTCTGTCTGTCCATGTACTGACCGATTCTCTGTCTGTACCATGTACAGACAGACTCTCTGTATGTCTTATGTACTGACCAACCCTCTCTGTCAGGTGTTTTTAACTTTAAAGTGTATGGAGACTTGTTTTGTATCTTTCCACAAAGACCAAATTGACTTATTAAACACTATTTTATGTACTTACTGTAATGTACTTACTTTTATACAGAAATTGCAATCCCTGCCATTTAAGCATGCTTTTCAAATTCATTGTAGCAAAAATGTATAGTTGTACAATTGATTGGTTTTCTGGTAAAATATTAGCATTTTCTGCACTTTATCTTTAAATAGAAGGCAACAACTGAATGTACATTAGTGTACATGTTTTTTTTTCCATAATGGAGTGATCTGGTTGTTTAGTGTGTGATTGACAAAATCACAGCTTGTTGGACACTATCAACCAATCACAACTACTGCACTATATAAACCAATTACAACAACTGCACTTTATCAACCAACCACAACTACTGCACTATATCAACCAATCACAACTAGGTACTGCACTATATAAACCAATCACAACCACTGCACTTTATCAACCAATCACACCTACTACCTTATATCAACCAATCACAACTACTGCACTATATCAATCAATTCCAACTACTACACTACATCAACCAATCACAACTACTTCACTGTATCAACCAATCATACCTACTACCTTGTATCAACCAGTCACAACTACTGCACTATATCAATCCATCACAACTACTACACTACATCAACCAATCACAACCACTGCACTTTATCAGCCAACCATAACTGCTGCACTTTATCAACCAATCACACCTACTACCTTATCTCAACCAATCACAACTACTGCACTATATCAATCAATCACAACTACTACACTACATCAACCAATCACAACTACTTCACTGTATCAACCAATCATACCTACTACCTTATATCAATCCATCACAACTACTACACTACATCAACCAATCACAACTAGGTACTGCACTATATCAACCAATCACAACTACTGCACTATATCAACTAATCACAACTACACTATATCAATCAATCAATCACGAATAAAGCATGGGTATGTGACAGGGATTATATAACATTTTGGCGAAACTACTTAAGTACAAAAAATAAGCTCACATTATGGTTGCCACTGTCTCACACATTGCTGACTTGACAGACAAGAACATTTTGTCTTTCCAAGAAGATACTTTGAGAACTAAAGTCATCACATTTTCTACAAAAAATGCCAGAAGTATGTTTTTTTCATCCAAAATTATAAAGCAATATGGGAAATTACATAAATTTGACCAGAAAAAAAAAACAGTTAATATTTTAGCATTATAGATATAACTGTTACTGAAGGTATAGAAAATACAGAGACTTTTCATTGACACTTCTTGGAAACTAAATTCCACAAATATCTTGATCTCTCAAAATAAATGCTAATTAAATCTAATTACATTGTACCACTAAAAATCATCTGACATTTGCTTCCATACGTGTGCTTATTTAAACAGTCTTGTTTAGCTATTATGGAGTTTCATGAGGTTTGTAAAACTGAAGGCCAAGTGTGAACTTTCACATTATTTTATATGTTTTTAGAACAACAAATTATTTGTATATAATTTTACACCAACAGTGCAGATATTAATTAAAATAATATTGAGACTATTGTATAAAACTATTGCATAATTGCATGCTGCATTGTCATTAATTTATGATTATAATTTATGCTAATCATATTCAGTACAGGACAATGACAGTTACAAGTAGAGTTATGTGATTGGCTGTTCTATTTTTTGAATGATCCAATCCCATCTTGAAACATAAAATATGCAGAAGTTTATTATGCTCATGCATGTGTATTATTAATTTAGAGACTTGCATGTACTTTAGATGGTATTGAATGTTTTTTAATTAAACCCGTTGCAATTAGCCATCCCTCGCTGTAATAATTAAAACAGAAAGTTGAAAACGAGAATAATATTCAGTGCCTGTTGCTGTCTTCAGTATTCAATAATAGCTGTATGAGTGTTGGTTGTTTTAAAAAGATCTCAAATGATATGTATACTGCTATAGAATTTTGTTGTTTTTTTCCCCTAACTTGTGATATTCACTAATCTTTGTCACACGTGCAATTAAAATAGTTTACAATAACCCTTTGTCACATTAAATTTAGAATATTTTTCCTGGTTGCAATGTATCATGGGATTTTAGATGCTAATTTGTTGTACATTGCAAGCCCAAGGTAGTTAAATAATTCATTTACAGATGTATTGTGACTGAATGGCATATACTGTAAAACCAGTATATTTATTGCTGAATCTTTAAACAAAGTATTAAGCATCATATTTTAAATATGCTTGTCATGTTTTGAGATAATGATGTATGCAATCATTACTAAATGATCCACTGTAGTGGCATTGAATACAAATTCAGGTGGTAGATACAGGTATTAATAGATTAAACTTGTAAAAATGCTCTCTGCAAGAATACCAGAAAGTTTGTGCTCAGGCTGTACAGGATCACATCAACCTTCATTTTCTGTCTGTTGGTACAATCACTATTAAACTAACTTTGTTCAAGTTTTAAGGTTTTGTCAGTATTCTAAACCTGTGTCAAATATTAGTTGCGCACAATATTTTAAACTTGACATTACCCAAATCACTTGGATGTAGGTGTGCGGTAACTGCACAGTTTTAACAATTCAATTTTGAGCAAGTTTGTTTATGCATAGTTTATAAATAAGTTTATTTTTGACAAAGTGATGCGATGTTTATTGTTTCAGGGAATGTACTGTGACGAAATTCCATTGTACAGAAATTAACAAATGTATTATCTTGCGAAACTATTATTGCACACCAGATTACTGTTTTCTAAGAATTAAAAAGTGTATAGTTAGTTTGTAATATACTTGGACATGTGTATTGTTAATTATATAACATTCCATTAGAAGCAAATATTAACTGGATAATACTGTAGAATACTTTATTTTCGCTTGGAATTTATTTTTGCTATTTTCGCTGAAGGGATGATTCCGTGAAAATAAAATCCTATATTTCACATTAAACTCATCAAAAATCAGTGAAAATAAATTCCATACAAAATGCCCAAAAAGCCTTTTTCAGTGAAAATAAAGTATTCTACAGTATTACTGTTTTGACTAGCCCATGTTGTGCTGACTTGTTGTTCCTGCATCTGACTGTATTGATTTGTTTTACTGATGCAACATTACGGTGAGTGGTAATGTCGACCACAGATTTTTATTAATAAAATCCAATGGTATTAGTAGTGTCTTTGTTTTAATTTCCATCACCTTAACCTTTTCACCACCAGTCTTTCTTGCCCAAAATTGTTATGCACTTTTTTTATATTTTTCAATATTTCTGGAAATGAACCTTAATTTTTAGCCAACAGACAAAATTTGAGTAAATTTGGCCATTTTTATCCCAATCTTTGGAAGAAAAGTGCAGACTATAAACGGTACTATTTGAAAACTGGGAACTAGTGGTGAAAAGGTAAGACTAGAATGTATGCGATTTTAGGTCAGGTATAGGTATGCTGATCAACGAATGTGTCTGACATTAATGTAAAATTCCATTCACTGATTGGTTGGAAATGACCATGCAAGTGTGTCAATAAGAGGTTGAATATTAGAAAGTTTTAATGGCAGAATTGGGGGAAAAAAAATATTTTGCACAGGAAAAAAATCGGATAGAATTTTTATAGCAAATTCATTATGCAAACAATTCACACAACACTAAGTGAAAGAAACAAATAAATATTTTACAGTTTATCTGTTATTGTCCTTCCCAGAGTTTAACGGTTAACTGCTAAAGCCAGCCAACAGTATGTGTTGCTTGAATACATACAGTAGTTAATCAACCACCATAACTTTTAATTTTAACTTTTTGCAGTTAATTGTACAGGCCCAGAATAGCTCAGGAAATGTACTTTTTATGAATTTTCAGCTGTACAACAGTGTACTAACAGTTGAAGCAAATCTTGTAATTTGGTCTGAATTCACTAAACTTGTTTGTGAAAAGTACTTCTAATTTTAAAGCAAATACAATTACATTACCCATACTTGTATTATGATTCAATGTTTACAATAATTGCATATTGGGTTTATGGCCGAGCTGTTATAGAACGATGAGATCTGCCAATCAATGTTGTTGTACACAGTGTGTAGGAGTGTACCACTGCCTTGCACATCTCTACCAAAGGTGCCAAGCAGAAACTGAACATACCAGTTAGTACCCTGAATTAGAATGTCATTCTCATATCTAGCATAAAGTCATTCATTCTAATTTTTGATGCATAGCAGTAGGTATGTTATATTTTTATTGTTATTCACACTGACTGACGCCATGCTTATTATCACTTAGTACTGCTACATGTGTGATTACACATTAGAATTGTCAATTTTACAACAACAACCAGCCAACTGTATATATGAAAGAATTTGTTTTTTTATTCAAATTTCTAGAACATGTGACATGATTTCTTATCATTTTAATTGTGTAATTAAATAAAGTACAAAGTAGAAATGGTCTTTATCACAACGATTAATTGATTTTTGAAGACCATTACATTTTTTTCATATGAACATGACATCGGTAATCACATCAGCATAAGAACATTTTTTTGATAAAACACATTGGAAATTAATACATAATGCTACTGCTGACAAAGTGATGCAATACTTTGGAAATTCCAGTTCAATCATACTCCTTTGCATTCAAACGCAAACATATACAAACCCTGTGTTCATATTAACTCTCAGAATGACCATGAAAAATAGCTTGTAAAACGCAACACTCATTTTAGTAATATATCAGTACTTGGTTGTTGTAAATGAGAAGTTGCACATCAAAAAAAAGAAAATCTGCACCCTTAACAAATCTTTACTTGTCAACTTTAAATACATTTCAGAAAAAAATCATGTTATAAGGCAGTAAAATAAATTAAGCTGAAAGAAAATGTTACACACTGCGTTTTTAACAAAAGAATACTTTCCTACAGTGCCTATCTGGCAAAAAATGGTTTCAGAATAAATAGGAAATTTTTAACTGCACATTTCAGTTTGCATGAAAATTGTTATTTGGGCAGATTCTATTGAATTCTTTATATAACACTATGAAATCTGGATAAATCTACAAAATAATTGTTGAATAGAACGCTTATTTGTGAAAAATATGGAGACAAAAGTGGCACAATCCAGTTTGAACGAAAATTTATTTTCTAATAATGTTACACTGGCTTTTAATCACAACACGCACGAGTGGATGAACTTCAAACATTGCCATCTGTCTCTCTATCAAAAAAATAAACATTACTAAATGATTGTAGATACACACTTTAATTTGAAAAATAAAACATTTAATATTCTGTTTATGGAATGGCGTGGATTCTAATTTCAACCAAATAAAAGCAGATTGCTGAAATTTAGCTTTCCACATATGTACAATATTTAAAAAAAATATGTAACAAGCTACTGCATTGTTTTGATCAGTCCAATTTGATGAAAATTCATTTTTGCATGCACGCAAAATATCTATCCACCATATGCAGAGCATTTTGAGTGACGAAAGTTGTTTAACGCCATACTACAACCATGGGTGCCAGGCTGGATCCATCCGACACAAGTTATCAGGACTATTTGCTGCTGCCACCAATGTACTAACTTTACTGTCACCGCCTTCAAATTGTGCAAGATCTACAGAAATAAAAATCAAATAAAAATTGATTCTTGCTTTTAATTTTTACATGTATATCTGAATGTAAACATATTTTCATCATGCTTTAAAGGAAACATGAATCTAAGCAACATAGTGACCACTGAAGAAAAAGGTCCACAAATGTAGGGGAATGCAATTTACAGTTTTTTTATATCACTTTTCATTCTCGAGATATTCGACTTTATATCATTATTATGTAGTCAGCCATCTTGATTCTCAAGCAAAGGATTATGGGTAAAGTATGACATCATAGAATCTGTTGTCTATTACATGAGAAATACTGATGGGAATTAGTTCAAATTTTCGTTGTGCATATTACTCATGTATATAATTATAGTAGTGGAAATTAGAATGATACAAATACACATGAAGTGAAGATATTGCTAAAAAATAAAACATTTGCACCTTGCCAGCAGTACCATCAGATAATTGGCTGGCTCTCAATTGGTTGGAAATATCCTCTGGGGGAATTGGTTGACCATACAGCTGTATTGCCTCCAAATCTAATAATTTACTAGCTTCCTGAAAGCAACATTGCTCGCAACACAGCTGTATGGTCAGCCAATTCCCTGAGGATATTGCCGTTAAAGTGTGTGAAACAAATTCACGGCCACAGTAAGCTGATAAAGCTGAAGCAAGATTTTCAGCTTGAGTGTATTACATTGTGTTGAGCAATAAAGGTTCAGTTGCATTTTGTGGCAACATGCAAGAAAATTTATTTTAAAATCTGTTCAAAATGCCATGGTTTTTCTTCAAAACCAGCAGTATCACATTGAACAAATAAGACCTTTTCAAACAGATTGCTATTTCCAAGTACATATGTACCATTTTGGGACAAATTCAAGGTTGGCACTACTAAGCATATGTGTATTGCATTGTGGGAGATAAATTCAAGGTTGGCACTACCAAGTTTTTTACTGAGCATATGCGTATTGTATTGTGGGAGATAAATTCAGAGTTGGCACTACTGAGCGTGTCACTGAGCATATGCGTATTGTATTGTGGGAGATAAATTCAAGGTTGGCACTACTGAGCATATGTGTATTGCATTGTGAGAAATAAATTCAGGGTTGGCACTACTGAGCGTGTTACTGAGCATATGTGTATTGCATTGTGGGAGATAAATTCAAGGTTGGCACTACTGAGCATATGTGTATTGCATTGTGAGAAATAAATTCAGGGTTGGCACTACTGAGCGCGTTACTGAGCATATGTGTATTGCATTGTGGGAGATAAATTCAAGGTTGGCACGACTGAGCGTGTCACTGAGCATATGTGTATTGCATTGTGGGAGATAAATTCAAGGTTGGCACTACTGAGAATATGTGTATTGCATTGTGGGAGATAAATTGAGGGTTGGCCCAAGTGAGCGTGTTACTGAGCATATGTGTATTGCATTGTGGGAGATAAATTCAAGGTTGGCACTACTGAGCGTGTCACTGAGCATATTTGTATGTGTATTGCATTATGGGAGATAAATTCAGGGTTGGCACTACTGAGCGTGTCACTGAGCATATGTGTATTGCATTGTGGGAGATGAATTCAGGGTTGGCACTACTGAGCGTGTCACTGAGCAAATATACATTGCATCACAGGAGAAGAATTATCATTGAATATAATGAAAATTATCATCACACTAGAAAATCACTGAATATTAGTTGTTTGAAATTATAATAATGTTAATATACAACTGAAACAAAATTTTACGAAATACTTTCACAACGAAACAAATGTAAATTTAAAATGCAGTGTTTCAATAGCATTTCAAAATATTGTTTCTTGAAAAATTGCAATTTTATATCGCATCTTTTTACATCCCATAATAGTCAAACAATGAGAAAAATGATGCTATTTTGGTCTTAATCACTAAACCCAGATCCCTTGCTTGAAGCACAATTACCCAAATAAGTAATAAGAAAAATTTCAAAGTCATAATAGCAGACAAAAGCTAGTAAAGCATAACAACTCGCTTCTATTGATATCTATTTTGCAACAACAAAAGTCAAGCTGAACCAAGGTCAATGTCATTAAACACAAATCCCTGCTTGAGACATTACATGTATCCTCTCAAGTTCAATAGTGTAGGCCTAAGTACGGAAGCAATTAAGAAATGTGACAGAGATGAACATGGTAATTGCAATCTTTTCTGTCATTTATCGATTCTAATAGGAATGGAGATTTTTGTGAATAAAGCTAATGATGATATCGAGCACCAAATAAATTATTAATTCAAATGTAGTCTGTAGTAATGTAGACACATGAAAAGAGTCATTTGCAGAAATGCTTTAGCAAGAAAATATTTTGAATTATTTATGCGTCTTACTTCTTAATTCAAAGAAAGAATGAACAGCAAGTCATAATTTTTACTGAATTGAGGAGGTACAAAATGTATGTGATGCCCTCTACAACAATCTAATACACCGTTTTGCACTAATCATATTTTTTAATCAATGGAATTGTATACATATTATAACTGAATGCTGATTGCTAGAAATGAATTCGCGCATTTTACCCCATGTGTATTTATTTGGGATCAACAAATTCATAAACATAGTGTAACTGTTACAACCTTGTCTATTGAGAATCCAGACTAAACAACAAATGGATAGATAGATACAAACTAACGATGAACATTTTTTTTCTCATATTGCAGAAATCTGTAAGAAAAGTTCTGAAACATGCAGGGTTTTTTTTTTTTTACAAAATTGCCCCCAAATAAAACACAATTACCGGGGTACCATAAATTTTATACACCAACAAAAATCTGAGAAGCAATATATTCAAATTATCAACAGTTGCCATGGCAACAAACAGAATGTACTCACTCTGTAACCGTGTCATGATTGCCTGAACTGCTTTTTTGACCGTTGTTATGAGTAATTCGCTATCCATGTCCTGTGGTTGTGCTCTAGGTGGATGTTTCTCTTCTTGTTTCTGAGAGAAAAAAAAAAGGAAAGCACAATGTGATTGCACCTCACCCAGTGTACAAAGTAATTTGTATATAACCAGACAAAGAGTCTTCTATAATGTCATTTTTTTTTTTTTGTTTTTTTTTTTGATTGGTAGTTTGAATTATTACAGCAATGTGCAACATTTCAAAAAAATACTACTGTTAAATACTTTATTTTAGGTGGAGTTAATTTTCGCTGAAAAGACTTTTTGGGTGTTTTGTATGGATTTTATTTTGACTGATTTTTGACAAGTTGAATGTAAAATATAGGGAAAAAGGTATATTCGCAAGATTTTATTTTCACCGAGTCATTTCTTCTGCGAAAATAGCGAAAATTAATTCCAAGCGAAAATAAAGTATACTGCAGTATTTGGGTTTTAAATTGAAATAATGAACAAGGTCATTGTAGATAGTATGCTATATTGACTGTAGTGCCACTTCTTGTTACGAATAAAGTACGTTCATAATAATACAGAGTATCATCAGAATATTTGCAAAGTGTCTGATGAGAGATAATTTATATGCGAAACAAATCTACGAGTATAAAGGTTTATACATCAGAGGTCAGAAATCAGCTCCAAAAGATGGGGGGGGGGGCAATATTTGATTTGGTGTCACACAAGGGAAAAGCAAAAAATTATGTAATTTTTTAGTCTTGTGATAACACCTGCCAAATATGTGAGCATTGAAAGAATACATGACACGTTTAATTTTAATACATTTGCTGAAATTCTCCACAGACAGCCAAGACGAATGGGTCAAAAAAGTGTCGGCTGACAATATGGTAAATTGAGTTACATTGAATGTAACATATGCAAGGTAAGTCACATGGAAATCATAGCAAGAAACGAGTACGTTTTATTTGGGTTGACGTGTAACCTTTCACTTTCACAATTAAAGTAAATAAAAATGTATTCAGATACACATGTAATAATTCATTAGAGACACACTGTGTGAAGAGTCTAGTGCAAACATAGATCCTAAAGATGCTTACAAGCTTCTATGCAACCATCAAGCCATTCAATAATAAACACAAATTAATTAGAAAGTCGGTCTAAACGAGCTGTGATAATCAGTTGGAAGCCAGATACATGATGACCTTATTAGCTCTATCTGAAGCACGTATAAGTCAAATACTGCAGTTACTGTATACTGGATCATTAAAATATAACTTATTATGACCATAGATACACCTGTCATTGACGTGAGCACACTGTGCTTCTACATGTAAACTCTGTATGGACAGCTCAGAATTGAGTGGTTTCACAAATGTATGTTTCAATTTATGGAGTAATTTGTTTATAATCAAAGTTTAGAAAGTATTAAATTGACTAAGGTCTCAGTAGACTGTCAAATAAAATAACTGTACCTAGGATTAAAGATGATGAAGTTCAACACGAGATGAACCACAACAGGAAGTTGTCAAATATCACATGTGTTATGAATGAATGCATCAACAAATTCACTTTCAGATTCTTGTTGCATGCTACAATTAACGCAAAGTTGGACTAATATTTACATCAAGACATGGTGATTTTATTTGTTCTGCCGTGATCAACATGCTGGAGATAAGCCCTGATGCGCTCACAATGAAGTGATGTAATTAACGCCAGGTAATGGGGCGTATAGTTCAGGTACGCAAACAACATTCAGAGATAGAAAGCTCTTAAGAGTACTTTAACAAACATGTTTTGAATGACAAGATAAAAATGGGCAAGGTACAACAGGCAATATAAATAAGACACTGACAAGTCAAGTGTTTCACTAACGACCACATGGCTCTGTTCCGCTGTCTGAGTCTCAACTCATAAGACACACTGTCACATAAGACGCCACTCGTCTGTCAATAAGAGCGAGCTAACCTCCTTTCTAAAGGTTGATTATGAAATCACTATGACAACGCATGTCGAAGGTCAGGGAGAAGGAGTGATGCATAACAAATTAAGCAAATGAGACATAGTAATTGTATTTTTATAGGGACAGCATACTTCCTGCTTTGCATAGGCATTTTAAGATTTGCTAATGAAACAAAAAAGTTTTTATTTTAAATTTTTAAAAAACAGCAACTGAAGCATCAAACGAAAAAGCAGCATGATTCGGTCAGAGAAGAGTCCGGTCATTACCTTCTTATCCCATGATATCATTTCATCTCTCAGTATCGCTTTAAGTAGACTCTGCAGTTTAAAGTTTGGTTGAACAAAGCATCGAGCCACAGCAATCATGGACGCAGTCAGGACGCCACTCACACCGACAGATGTCAGAAACTCAGCAATATTGGGTGTCAACCGGAAGGGTACTGGACGGTTGGCATCTAAATCACCTAGGAAGGCAAAAATAAAATGTTAAACATATGTAATGAAAATATTACTGCCATAACATTCCATGACTGTCATCAAATTTGCCTGTCCCCATCTTTCATAACACACAACACAGTGAATAATTAATACTATTTTTGTGTTATTAGTTGCATTCACTGTACATATGCAAATGACATAGGTGTTTCTATGGTCAAAAAAGGGCATATTTTATTGATTCAGCATACCAATAATAGCAATTTTTGGTTTATGTAGTGTAGTACTGTAGTATTAATAAGAGAAAAAAATAAAGAAACAAAATGACTTATAGACAATCCATATAGACTGATTTGTTATCAAGTTTGAGATTTTGAACCGATTTACGATAGTCTCGCCAATCTGAACTCCTAATCAAAACAAAATGCAAAATGCAATTACTGATCAATAGATAGATAAAGAGTGAAGTGTCTTACCTTTAGCGTCATCTATATCAAATCGAAAGTAGAAGACAGAGAGTTGTCCGCTGTCCTGTCCAATCTGCAACATCTCTGGATTGAGACGTGTCAGATGAAGAACAAACTCAGCAAATCCCAGCAAGGCTAGTTGTAAAGTACACTGAAATGATGAAGAGATACAAAAGATATTTAAAAGTACATTATGTTGGTACATCAATTTAGTGACATACTGTAAAATGACTAATTTTCACTGGGTTTAAATTTCACTGATTTACCATTTCAGGCATATTCAGTGGGTTTTAAATTCATGGTTTCGTCATTTAGATAATGTGTTCTATGCTAAATTTTACATATTCACTGGGTTTTAATTTAGCGCATTTTCCAGTCAGCGAAATAAGCAAAATTAAAACCCAGTGAACAAGCCATGCATGCACAGTCCCCATTAGTTATCAAATTTAAGATATAAAGTTTTGTTTATAGTAATATAGCTGGAATATAAACATGTCAGGAATATGATGATTGTTTAACATTTAAATGATTGACACATGCATCTGATCATCAAATGAGTATTGAGAGATATTGTTCTAGAACAGCATTAATTAAAACAAAATCAGCCATTATGAATATATGTATAATGAATATATGAAACTTG